ACTCGTTGACCTGCCGGTTTGGTTCGGGGATATTGACATTCGTTGGTGAACTTTCACCCGACTGCTAAGGGAACTCATCCGTCCCGCTCCGCCTTGGGTCTCGACAGAAGCCCTGACAGCCATAGCAGCTGGTAGTATAGGCATATGCTATCACTATCCCTACACGAACCGGACTTCAATGTATCAGGGCGTAGATACTCAATTTTCAGGAGACCGAATTACCCCACCAGTTGACAGCCTCTCTGGTCAGGCATTCTAGATCGTCGTGAAAGCGTGTCAGATGCAAAGAATGATCGCCAGAATCAGATTTCTTCTACTTCACCTCCGTCCCTCTCCCCTCAAATCCCAATGACAAGTCCGATTCAAGCCTACCAAAGATGGGCTCAAAACCATTTGTGTATAATCTACGTCCAACGTGTGCCACCTGTATCTGCATCTCAATCACATAAATGTGTATTGGACGAACATTCCAATTTTCACCTCATTTAGTCACTTTTGCACTTTGAAAGGTTCTGGATCGAACTCACACGCGCAAAAATATTACTTACAAGTTGGCCATCGCAGCTGCACAAATTTATTCGGGCTTCCGTTGGGCTCATAGGCGTTTTTGTCCCCACATTGAAGGCGTACACATAGGTTAGTTTGGAAACGCAAACATCCAAAAGCTTTTGTCACCTCCTCTCCAACAGGCACGCGTGTTAAAATTCTGTGTATACGGCCGAGGACACGCGCACCAACCAGTCGGGAAGATTTGTCTTCTGGGCGCGAGCCAATCAGGAGCCTCCTACCTGCGGACTACGAACCAATTAGCGCCCAGACCTGTCCATTAAGCTTGTCAACTGGGTGGGCCCACTCCACAACCAAGAACGGGTAATTAATTGTCTGCTACTGCTGTCTTAGGCAAGTAAACTGGCTGACCAAGCGGATGACAGACAGGGGCACATCCTCACTGCCAGTAGAGCATCAACTGTACGGATCAGCTGCTGGAACCGAGTGCCAGTCCACGCGTGATTTCTATCCCGCCAATATTCCTCTCCAGGCCTACAACACTGATGGAATGAATCTCCCCCCGGGCAGTTACAGTCTACAGTCCTGTGGCGCCTCGGGAGCAGAACAACCAGAAGAGAACACACATGGGCCCCCGCAGCCATCGCCGGTCCTCTATAAAGCAGCGGCGGCAGCGCCGAAGCACATGGCAACAGTATATCAGTCTCTGAAGACATTCGTCAGTCGTCGC